AGTAGTGTTAGTGTTGACATACTCAGCTAATCACGCTTAACAGGTGCAAAATGTGGAAAAACTTAGTGATCACAAAATGTTTGTTTGGCTTTTATTTATAAAAGTGATGTTTAATGTTCTCAATGTTTATATTATTTAAAAGTAAATGGTTATAAAGGCAGATGTGACACTAGATGATTTTGAAAAGAAAAGCAGCCTTCTGAGAACTCAAGGTTAAGAAGAAAGTTGCCAAAGCAGCCAGTAACTGCAGGATTTCATAAGAGAAAATAACAGCAGAGAGTTTATTCTTTTTAAGAATTAGTCCCCATGTGAACTTGAAGTTGACAGCAAAAGCCGTGGCCCTGCTCTTCCCCCTTCACATCGTGCTGCCTGCTGCTTCCCGCCAGCATGCCCAGAGTAGTCATCTCAGGATGACAGAGCAGTACAGGGAGCAGAGCAGCTGCAGGAAGACGCTTGCCTCAGTATCACATATTTGCTGTAACCTTTAATGTAATCACGTTTATAACATTCCTCAGGAGAACACGGATGCCCTCGCCCATGAAGTGAGCCTGGCCGTTTACCACCTCGCTGGGGGAAGAGGAGCGCCACCCCAGCCTATATAACGAGTGATACAACTGCCGGGAAAGCTCGTAACTCCACTTAGTTTTTTAATATTACTTTCTTCACCATTTGCTAATGTGGCCATACCCAGCCCTACTTGAGAGCAGCAAGGATTAATCAGAATGGAGTGGAATATTATTCTGCTTATTCTTTACCTCTGTTAGAACTTACCTCTTCATGAGATGCACTTGCTGCTGACTGTCCCCCCTACCCCAAGTTTGTCCAAGTTCTGCCTTAGAGGGGACTCGCTTCTCAACAGTCAGTGACTTGGTGATGCCCAGGAGGAATTCTTACTTCACAGATTATTGTCACATTGTGCCTGAAGCCTGTCTCGACAGCCTCAGCACTGCAGTAGCAGCATTTTGACTTCAGCTCCGTTGTGACTGTGCTCACAGTGGCTGCAGCCCAGGGCGCTGCTGTGGAGACATCGTCCTTCCCTGCCCACAGCACCTGCATTGTCTTGAGAGTCAGCTCACCTCAGCTCAAGAGGGAAACAGTATCATGAAAGAGCATGTGCAGACAATGCCATAGGATTGCAATAATACCTTCATTAGATACTTTCATGAAATTTAAGTATTGCTTGGAAAGCAATTTGCAGTGATAATATTCATAATCACTTTTAAGAGGGAAGGGACAGAGAAAATTTTGTCTTCTGTGGTCCTTACTGCTCCCCAGCTGCGCACAGGGGCTGAGCCAAGGGGATGTAATGTTTCAAATACACAAGTGTCCCTCAGCCACGTATTTCAGTGCAGGGTATCTACCTCTGACAGATGCATTTCTCATTGTAGTCCTGTATTAACTCCTGACATAATGGCATTTTCCAGATCGCTAAATAAGCACAAATTCCAATAGATTAAAAAAAAAGGCAAAAATAAACTGGAAACAAATTGAAAAAATGTGCACCTTGTATTTTTTTTTTTAGGATTTTTTTAAAGACAGAACTCAAGACAACAAAACATGTACTGTAAATAGTAGGCACCATAGTCAATATGAGCCACCAATATTTAGACTTGATTCAGGCCACATCCAGAAGTTCTCTCTTATTTACAAATATTTAACTTAAATACAACATGAAATATTTCATTACATACAAAGTAAGAAAAGAATACTATACAACTGGGAAGGATACAGGGTTTCATTGGAATAGTTACACCACATGTAAGCAGAATAGTACCAGTTTGGTTCATGTTTTTATGACACCTTCAAGAAAATCCTTCTCGACCATTTCTTCTATCTTTTGTCGTGCTTTGCTGGAGAAGGTCTTGAGGTTCTCCATTTTTATATCCTTACTTGGAAAACAGTTGGGGTAAAGGACAGGGCTCCCTGAGTGTCCAACACATCTGCTCGTGACTTTGCTGTTAAAAACTTGGCTGAGTACATTGAAGAAAGGCAAAAGCTGCTCAATGCTGCGAACGGTGTAGATGGTTAAAAGCAAGTGACCCGGTTCCCAACTTAACGTTTTCCCTGAGCTGTCCTCCTCTGGGTTTTTCTGTAAACAGAGAGAAATGGGAAATAAACCAGTACAAAACAGAAAAAGCACACATAAAAATAAGACACTAATGCTCAATAAAGTATTTTTCTATTTTCCAAAAGTACTTGTGCTATCAACAGAATACACGTGTGCTGGTGTGCAGCTCTCGAAGCAGATCTGTTCCTCCCATCACGCTTCACAGCGGCGCAGGCTGGGAGCACATGGGCTGGCAGCCAGGCAGCTGACACTGATGGGAAGCTATGGTGGGTGATGGAGTCCACCAGCAAGGCGCAGGGCTGCCCCAAAACATGGCAGCTCCCCCAGCCTGGCACCCGCTGTGCTGCCCTGCCCTGCAGTGCTGCTCCTGCTGCAGAGCCCCCCTGGCTAACACAGGCAGCCCAGCCTGGTCTCAGGCAGCGCTGCAGCCGCCTGGGTACGTTATGTGCTGCTTCAGCGGTTCTCCAAAGCAGGCCACACTCTGGGAACACTCACACTTCACCCTGCTGCAGTGTTAGTGACAATAAACCCCAGAGGAAGTCAGAAGGGAAGCATTTTCACTTTGAACCTAGAGTCTGGAGTGTTCAGGAAGAGTAAAAGCAGCGCTGTTTTAAGTATCAGAAATAACACACACAGAGGCTCTGAGCAAACACCTGAAGTTGTCCTCAAAGGGAAATGGTTCAGTTCCTCATTGCGAGTTCTCAGACCCCTTCAATTACACAATTCCTTCCATTTCATGGGGGGACTTTGGGGAGAGAATTTCAGGAACCCCACCAGCGAAGGCAGCAGTCACACACCAGGTGCTTACAGGCAGTGTCAGAACACTGCGGTCACTCTCTTTAGGGTTGCCTCAAATACCCGAGCACTAACATCCAGCTGCTTAGATGGTATTCTTCACTCATTTATTCTTTTCCTTTGAGTAAAAAAAATACTCAAATCTAGACAAGAAGGTACTGTCACCACTAGAAACAGTTTGGACTGCTACTGACAAACCAGTATGGGAGAGCTTCTGCCATGAAGCAGAGTTCCAGCAATACTGGTTTGTGTTCTGTAAGGAAGGAGAAAAGAAGCACAAAGGCCACCTGAAGAAAAGCCACCCTCTGCCAAGGTGGGGGTCTGAGACCCCCGCAGGCTGCGCAGCTCCTGCAGAGCAGACTTTGCAACCAAAGGAAAATGGGGGTAAAGAAGAGCAGTGGGAGCAGAGCCCTGAGGTGGGGACTGCTGACTGCACAGCCTTGGAGCAAGCAGATTTTCTTCCAAGAGACGATACTTCAGCAAATACAGCTTTTACCCTTTCAATGAAGCCTACGTGACATCCCTTTGACAAAAACCAATTCGGTTAAAATGAAACGTGAGTGTATTTAGTATTTTAATCTGGTGGTTTGGCTCACTACTGTTTCAGCTCAACTGTTTAATCTCTACAAAGTCTCAAGAAAAGGAAGGCTCATAATGAACCAGAACAGAGGGAAGACTGAATTCCAACACAAAGATGTTGATGCCTCCCACTTCTCATGAAGCTACTACTTTAAATTAAAGTTTCTCCTTTACAAACTTCACAATGGGTTCACAGAAGAGGCCTTTCAGTACTGGCTCTGTACCATGCTCAGTATTGCCCAGTGGCGAGCACAGAGCAGCTCCAGCTTGAGCCAGCATCAGTGCTGCACAGCAGCCAACCACACAGGGTGCATGTGCAAACACAAATTCTCTCTCAGAGCAATGAAATACAATCCCAGCAATGAAATAAAGACAATCCCAGCAATGAAATACAACCCATCCAAGCCATTTCCTCACAGCAGCATCTGCTAAGCCAACACCACTTATTTCTCAGATACTCAACAGCTAATTCGACAGAGACCGATTAGGGATTGTGTGTTTCGCGCCAGCCATTTGGCACAAGTGATTTTATTATTTAATTCTACAATGATTTGCAATCATAATTCTTCTTAGAACTAGCACTAACTTTTTGTAATCTATTTCATGCAGGAAACCAACTTAAAAATAAATTTTTAAGTTATCTATAAAAATAAGGGCCCTTGTGATTCTTTCACTTCAAAAACCTCTACTTTGTCCACTACCAAGACCGATCTCTCTCAGTTCTTACTCAAAGCTAAACACTGCCCAGGGCCTTGAGGTGTTGGTATTACTATGGCGAGCTTGTTTCACAACTCAAGCATCAAAGGCCACCCTCACCTGATGCTTGGCCATCTCCAATCCCTCCATAACCACCGTCTTAAAGTCCTCCTGTTTGTCCTGTGGAAGGAAAGAGGAGAACTTTCAGACTGCATTTCATATATCAAAATAGTACTTTGCCATGAAGGCCATGCAGTTGCTTGGCTGGGTGCTGTGCTTCAGCTACAAAATCACCCGCCCCAAAGAGTCCAGAAAGAGCAGACTCTGGAGCCAGTGTGGCCAAGACACTACTGGACAATGACAGCACTGCCACTTGGTTCTGGTACCAGTGCCAGTGGTACCCAAAGGAGATTTTCAAGCACATTTCCTTCAGACAACAGAGCCTGAGCAACACCCTACTACGTGAATCTGAGCGTGAGTGCCCTGAAGGAAAATTAAGATCCAAGGGAACATTTTGCTCAGGAACAGGATTTTTTTTCTAAGAAAAACCCACAGGTATATGCAGCTGTATTCTCCTCTGCACAAAGAAGAAATGGCCTGGAAGTCAGTATTCATTACCTCCTGTTTCTCTCATCATCATACCCCTAGCTATGGTTCACAGTGTGCAACTGCTGCCGTGACCAGGGGGTTCCAGAAATTCAGGGAGTTTTCTATATTCTTGAAGCATACTGTGCAAGTCCTGACTTCAGGCATCTGTCTCAACAGACAGTACTTACCAGCACGTATATTTTATGCATTATATGTAATTTATAATTCATGCAGAGCAATTATTTGGAGTGCGGGAACCTTCAAACAGGTATAGCACGCTACACTGATCAGGGTTAGAGGCTGTACCTAATAAATCAGTCAGTTAAAAGTGATTATTCCTTTATACATGTGAAAAGAGAAATTTAGTCTCATTTTCATGGTTCAAAACCCATAAAATGAAGAATTCAGATGTGCTTCAGACACCTGTTTTATCCCCTATAGTTGTGAGCTTTGCTTGAATGGTTCAGATCTGTCTGCAACCAAGTTATGCCTAATTTTTATGTAGCCACTTGTACGTTAGCAGTAGTTTCTTGACTCAGTGAAAACATCCATTAGAGACTGTAAATGCAGTAGTCCCAGTAAGGTGCCAGTGCTACAGCCCTGCCAATGGCTGGAGGGAAACCCAAGAAGGAAACTTCAAAGCTTTCTCCTGTCTCCCTGGCCCACCCAGCAACATTTTCCAGTGCAGTGCGCAGGGGGCTCAGCCCTCACTGCAAGAGCAAAGCATCTGACAGCAATTTTCTTACTTTGTGGCAGCAGAAGGGAGCTCTGGGAGGCAGGGCTGGGTCAGCTGCCATCAGCTTCATTGGCAGATCAGGCCTGCACCCCACCCAAACTGGGGCTTTAATGTACCTCATGCACCAACATCACGATTCT